GAGGGAGGGAGGGAGGGAGGGAGGGAGGGAGTCTGCAGTTAAAAGTTTTGAAATATGTTTGCCTTTCTCTTCATCTTAGACAAAGCAGCCAGTTAGCTCAAAAATGCAGGTTTTGCTTGTAGATACAGAATGCATACAGAATACACAAATAAATAAACTGGGGGGTGGGGAAACCAGTGCAGAGGGAATTCAGACCCTTAAGCTTGACTCCTTGGATTCTCCGGAGCAAGCTGTCAGTGCAGAAAGAGCCAAACTTTGTTCTACTGCTTCAGACCAACACAGCTACCCACCTGGATCTATACATGTCCATATTTTTATGTCTTTCCCCTACAGTCAGTATTTTCAGGCTGTGGTTAGTATTTATTGCTCTTTTCTGAACTATATACAGTTTGCTTATATACTCTAGAGAGAGGGACTTCTCAAACCGAATGTGCAGACGGGACACTCTAGTCACAGAAATGTACTATAGCGTTATCACAGTACAGACATGTGGCTGCAGCCATAGTTACATAAAACTGCATTGACTTTTTGATGGTAAAACCCTGGCCCCGGTCACACGAGAGGTTTTGCCCCGCAAGAGGGACAGATCGGGGGTGCATCAAACAGGCGCGATCACACCGCAACATCTGGGAAACGGAGTGCACCCGTCCCTGATCCGTCCTTTCTGGGGGAAAACGTGCATTAAAAAAAAAACACCTAGAAATGAGTACTACTTACCTGAAGCGCCGCAGCAAGGGCGGCCGTGGGATCGCCGGCGCGCCCATCTTCCACAGCATTCGAGGCTCCTGGCCAAACTGCACATGTGTGCACATGCACTGCCGGCTGCCTCACTCTCCGCCCTGTGGCTCCCCCCCCCGCGGTGATCGTGCTGGGGAGCAACTGCGTGGCAGCTCGGAGGATCTGTCTGATCCCGCCACCGCGCGTCTATTTTGCTGCAGCTCAGAAAAGTCGCGCTTTGGCCGTGCTCCCCCCCCGTGTGACTGGGGCCCCTGTTCCACAATGAAACTCCTCTCTCAGCATCACCACATCCATCTTCTTAAATTAACATAGACTATCCAAGCATTGCATCTAATTTTCCAAGGGATGCACGGCCTTTATATTCCCCTCCCTGGTGTATTTTATTTTCTCATTTTATTTCGAGCTCATTTAATCATAATCAATTGTTAATTAATTATTAATTAAATTATTTGGAGTTCCTTCAAAAGTAGTGCTGATTATAGATTTAATCAGACTGGGCAAATGATGTGATGCAACATGACCATCACCGGCTTTACCTCATGGGAAGTAAAGGTCCCAATAGAGGCAGGAGATCAGCTGACTAGGATGACATTGTCCCTGGAACTCTTAAGCCTGATCCTGTGAAACCATTTGTTACTGGCAGCCACGTTCTGCCAATTAGGCCTGCCCAAACCATCCATTTCAGGTTGTGCTTTTTGACATTAAAGATGAGAGTATGCATGACCTGGACCCTATCAGCTTTCCAGTGGCACACAGAGAGGAGCTTGCTGCAGCCCAACCCCGCCCCCTTGTCCTTATCCCTGGCACAACCTTTTCAGAGGTAAAAGATGTCACTGGGGGAAGGACAAGGAGGGGAACAATCCACTTGCCCTTATGGAAAACTGACCTGCATGTTTCATTTTATTTGCCAAGATCATTATCCAACCGCTAGATAAAAGGGCTAACAGAAAAATGCAGTTCTGTTCTTAAATGAAATGCACATCTCATATCTGTGCTGGCCTCCTCTTCCTTTCCACAGCAAATGCCAAGACAAGGATAGATTATGCCCTTGTGGCAGATAAGCACAATTCCCATGGCAGCATAGTCTAATTTAAAAACTGTGGCCTTAATTCTCAATTGCTTTTGCTGAAAGTCAGATGATTAAAATGCCATTTTGCTTGGGAAACATCTTCTAAAATATAGCTTGCCATACTCCTTGTGGGGAAAAAAAAAGCTGTTGGTTTTAATTGGTAGAGGATGGGGAGGAGGGGGAATTTCAGCAGAAGAACCTCTGTCATACCATGCTATAATGGTACAAGAGGCTGTGCATATCAAAATTGCCATTACAAACACAA